ATGCTAGGATGGGGGAGAACCGAGACGGTCACCCCAAACGACCCAACCTTTGTGGTATCGTCTAAGCCATGCCAGAGTGCTCAAACTAGAGTAAACTAGCGAGCATGCGCAATTGCAACAGCAATGACTCATCCTAGATAGAGTGCTCAATTTGGACATGAAAGCAAAGCTTTGTATGCCAAAGAGCTATATCTAAATATATATGTATTAATTTATACGGTGTTTTTTGGTGTCCTTTTATACGTAGATGATAACTTGCTTTATTCTAGCAACTGTTGGTCTATCTCTTAAAAAGGGAACATCTTTTAATATGAAGCGTAGTCCTCGTTGCTTTGCACGTGCCTGAGGTCCCTCTCCCGCCATGTGTACTATTTGGGGAAGAAAGGAAAGCAGGAAAACGAGTCAATCATGAAAAGCTGGTTGGCATCTGATTTCTAAGCCTTGAAACTGGCTTCTGTAAAAGTATCACACTTTTGGGCAAGTTAAGCTATGAATTAGCCAATGGTTTTCTTGTTCTTAAATGGGCTTCCTTCTTTAAAAGTGGGGAAATTTCCGGCGTTACGCTAGATGTTCTTTTTTCTTTTTGTTTGACCGCCTCGCTTAAACGCATAACGGTTATTTCTTTCTTGAGGCCTTTGGTTTTACTTGTGGCTCTCTTTACTGTACAATCATTATTATCAATATTAGCAATTTGGAGCGTACATCAGAAACTGTTAATCTGATGATAAACCGGAAACAATATAAACCATAAATCATGCCCTCCATTCAAAAAGAATTCAAGGGAACTAGATATCTCTTGGTCATAATTTATTTCCAACGGAACTACTGAACTACCCTGTTTACCAGAGGAAGTTGGTGGATCGTTCCCTAGAAAAAAACTCTGATTGTACAGCCTAATAAGGCTGAAATTGTAAATTATATTTACAGAGCATATTACTTACAAGAATGATACTAGAATAATATACAGATCTATTGTCTACACATGGCTTGTAAATAGGTTTGGGAGAAACGCTTGGTGCGCATTATTGGGTTAACAAACAGACGTTGATTTCTAAGATTATATGTAATATGGTTCTTCGGTGGCAAAAAATGATGAAACTTCCTCGGTATTGAACACTATTGGTTCGAAAAATTTATTACATTACTCGATACGTCTATCCTTCAGTGAGTTCAGGTTAAACAATGAAAGGTTGTCGAGATAAATACATACATACAAACTTTATTCTCGTCCTGAAAGTGCTTTTCAGAGAATACACGCTAAAAACCATATCATACAGAAAAAAAACACATTATATTATTTCTATAGTATATAGCATAATTATATCACTTTACTATCCATAAAGTCTTTTGTTAAAATGTTTTTTAATTTCCTTTAAAATTCTTGTAGTGTTCTGCTTTACTTGAGCGAGGGATCTAGCGCATTCCAAATCGTTACAGTTCTATAGTAGAAGGTTCTCTGTCCTGTAGCAGTCCTTAGGAGAGGAATCTGAGGTTTCTGTGAATTTCTTGTGGTGCGCGTTGATAATTCTGAACGTTTAATGAACTGTTCATTTAAACTATCGGGTGTGCAACCAGTTATGCACTTGAATGCCATTACAACATTTCTGTTATAGAGTTGTTGCCTAATAGGTAGCCACTGCATTGGCCTGAAGACTGGTGTTACGCGGTCAGATTTCTTTGCTCCACTAATTATACGACAGGCAAAGTTCTGTACTTTTTGTACTTTGTATAGGTTACTCTCGGTGGTATTACTCTAAACATTGGAGCAATAGAAGAGTTTGCTGAGGACTAGACCATTGACGACTATGGTTAAGGTGTCCTTGTCTAAGACGCGATTGACGCGGTTCATCTGTCCGAGTCGTGACATACAAGTTGAAACGGTGTTTGTTATATGATCTTTGTACGTTAGGTTGGGATCCAGTATTACACCAAGGTCCTTTGCGAATTTGGCAGGGGTTAGATCTTTACCCAGTAAAGAAAGGCGAAGGTCATCTTCCTTTCTGACCATCGGTCTGCTGCCAAAGATCACGAATTTTGACTTATCTGGGTTAAGTAAGCGCTTGTTGATAAACGCCCATTGGTATATTCTCTGGAGATCTTCATTCATTTTCATATATGATAGGCCAGGTGAAATTACAGATTGGGCGCGTTATTGAACACGTTCTGTGTCGTTTCCTAAATAATCGGGCAGTGCATGATGGTAAAGAGAAGCACAATACTCGCGTATAGATCTAATACAAGTAAGATAGAAACTGATGATATCACGAGCCGGAACTTTGGCGCGCTTAAGCAATATGAGAAAATACATCCGCTTACTAGCCTTTTTTAGAACGTCAGAAATATGACAATTCCATTATAGGGTGCTGGCTATTGTTACGCTTAACACTTTAACACTGTTTACACATTCAAGTTCGTTAGAGTTGACAGTAATCGTATCAAACCAGTGTCGCGTTCTTTTAAAGGCAATCAGCAGTTTTTTACACTTATCTGGGTTCAGCCGAAGCTTCTTTGTTATAGACAATTGCTCGACAGCGATAAGGGCAACTTGAATTGCACTTTGTCTTCCCCAGGAGACCACATCAGCAAGTATTGTATCATCCACCTACTTTCACCCCTCGAAGCCGGGTGTGTGGAGATCATTGATCATCACGGATGAAGAGCTAGAGTCTAAGTTTGGTGCCTTGATACACTCCGGATGGAACGGCTCCCCATTCCGAGAAACAATCATGCACTAGAAAGCTTTACTCGCTGCCGCTTGTCCATAAGGAAGTCACAGACCCAACGAGCTACCCCGCTCGGAATGCGCTACTCAAGAATCTTCACTGCCAGAGTATTGTGATGCACAAGGTGAAAAGGCTTCCTGTAATCCAGGAGCACAGCACACACCGCAGAACTGGTCCCGTCCGTGGCTTGCGTCTAGGTGTGCACCATTGAAATGAGAGCATGAAGATAATTTTGGGATTGCACAGAACTGTTTAGGATCAATCAGTTCCGAGACCGCAGGGCCAATATAATTACTAACAACGAACTCCTCTGTTACCTTGGACAAAGCCGGAGCCAGGGAGATGGGTCTAATATACTTGGTGATGATGATCGCAGGTTTAACTTTCATCAGCGGTGAAACGTCAGCATCGATCCACGACCGAGGAAGCTTCTGCTCGGCGAATGATGAGTTTAGAATATCGGAGACCAGGGAAGTTAGAAAGTCAGCATGTTCCCGAAGGAGCGAGTTGTTAATGCCGTCATGGCCACCGACCTTTCTCGGATTCAATCTCTGATGGGTTGATCGTTAAGACTTCAGAGTTGTTCGAAAATGGAGAAAGCATGTAAGCGGGCTATAATCCTGCATTGGCTCAAGAAGAACCTTATTGATCATATTTACAGTGTCTAAGTTGGAGCGCACCGCGATCCCGTCAAGGTGGAGATTCGCCGCCAGTAGCCGGAGCCATAGCCGCCATCATCTTGACCTCATTCCACAACTGACTGGGAGTTGGGGGTCTTCAGGTTGGCGGCTTTGATTGCATAGCACTTTCTGCGACACAGCTTCCGCTCACGATTATAATAATTAATTATAATAATAATAACTTGTATTTATATAGCGCTCATATCTTAAACTCAGGCGCTTTACAACACTGTACGGGGGACTTTACCAGACTGCTAAGCAGTTTACAATCAATAAAGGCGAATATGACAGCTGCCCCCTCCCCCCAATTCCCAGTAACCAGGCCAGACCAGATCACAGTAATCTCGTGAAGTGGGTTCTTTAACGTCCCCTGCCTAACCAAATTAACTAATCAATACATGCAGGAGACGGGACCTCCATTTATTCGTCCCTATCCGAGAAGACTACAATATCTAACCATTTCTTGATCGATGTTATAGAAAGGTAGCATATTCTTCTTAATTATTTTAAGACCCTGAGTGTTGGTCCGGCAGGGGCTCGAACCCTCGAGCGATTAGTGATGTTACGAAGGTGTAAGAAACGTTCAGTGATACCTCGTGCATTTGCATTTTGACGTGACTTGATAAGAGCTTTAAACTGGCTATGGATAGTGTAAAGAGGTCTTGGATCGAAGTGGTCCTACAGGGTGATGCTGATAACTGGAAACTGAGCATTTAGAAAGGAGAGTTCCGATAAATAGCACACCTCCACAGAGGCAGTAACAGACGTTTTTACAAATGCGATCACTGAGTCACTTCTTAACTCTCCACGCTTCTATGTGATACAGAAAAAAAATTATCAATGTATAGTGTTCTTTGTGATCTTAGGTTTAATAGATGGTGTAACTTTTTTTTTTCAAAAAAGGAGTGTATAGTTAACGGAGATATGTTGAACTGTCCAAGAATAATATTAAAAGTTCAACTTCATTCCAACCTGGTATTCATCCCGTCTCTTTTGTAATTTTTTTTTCGACCTCCAGTTGTTCGGCTGCGTTAGATAAATTTTTGCCCAAGGTTACATCCTGAGAGAGCCATATAAATAAAAACTAGCAATAAGATTAAAAACGCTTCGCAAAAGATGAATAACATACCTTAAAGTCAAAATTCCTGTCAAATCTCATCTTGATGAGTAAACGCATTACGTATGTGAGCCATGTTACCATCATGGTTTCTCTTAGGAAGGACAATGATACCGGGAAAGTATCGAGCAGGGATCGATATCGAGGCGAAAGTTCACGAATGAGAATAGCTATCTTTAAATACAGGCAAACATGTTCATACAGTATTTAAATGTAACTTTTTACTTGAAAAAAAAAACTTGCCAATCGTGAAAAATAATCCTCTTAAAATAATTTTACTTCTCTTCAGAATAACAGAGAAGGAAGAAATACACTTGCTGTAAATAAGTGTGCTTCTCATCTTTGCATTTTTTTACTCTTCCACATGAAAAACATTTTAAAATATGACGCAGTTTAACTATCAATCAATTTAGGAAGTTGACAGTCAACGAGGGGGAAGTGTTTTTATCATTACGCAATTATCGCTATGAAATGAGAATAACCTATTATCGCAGTTGGAATAATGAGTTGACATTTACGGAAACTAATTAGATCTTTTTTTCTCAAATAAGATCGGATATTAAATTCAACGAGGTCTTATCTTTCTTTCAAGACTTAATCGTATTCTCCGCTATCTTTTTCTATCTCTTCAAAATAGGGACGATATCTTTACTCATGCTAAGTCAATTTCCTTCCTTCTTTTCACAATTAAAGGTTTTCTGTTGTCGTTTTCATTGGCAATAATATTTCTGAGTTTTTTCTTTTGAAAGCTTGCAGCACGGTTTTGTTCCGTCGTGAATCTTCGGGTAATAGGTTGGCATCTTTCTCTTGTAGTCGAGTGGACTTGGTTCTCCGAGTTGTGCTACGCGACAGCTCGCGACTGCTTCCACGGCGACGCCGGGAGAGCGCAGTTCTGAAACCTCTCCTGTAGTTCTCGTTGAAAATCACGTAGATGTACGGGTTCACGGCCGAGTTTGCGTGACCCAAGAACAAAGTGAGAAAATCCATGTCGTAAGGCAGACCGCAAACATAACGAGCTGACTCCGCAAACATCACAAACATTCTCACGTATAACGGAAGCCAGGATAACGCAAAAACGATCACAACGGTTACCAACATCTTTAAAACTTTCTTGTTAGTCTTGTCCTTGTTTTCTTGGTTTGAAGACAGTTCTTGACCAGGTGCTTGCCTTCGCCATAGTTTAAACATAATAACCGTGTACAAAGATGCTATTAGGGACAAAGGCAAGGCATACAACATCGCAAACAGGGCTATGGTGTAATCTCGAGGAGCGGTGTTTTTATCAAACGGTGGATCCCACTTTTCTTTGCACTGGGCGAGGCCTTTTTCACCAGTGGTCGTTGAAACGTAAAGTTGGGGGCCTGAGACGATGACCGACGATAACCATGTCGCTGAAATGATACCTTTGGCAGCGCGAAATGTAATCACGCGCTTTAGCGGTCTGATTATGGCGAAAAAACGATCGAACGCGATCGCACATAGCGTGAAAACCGAAACTGAGATTGTGAGTGATTGCGCGAAAGGCAGTAGCTTGCAGAGAGCCTCTCCTATCCATCCACCGACAGCCCAGACATCTAGTCCGTGGAGTATCCAGTAGGTTGTGGGTAGCATGTTGAAAACAGTGGTCAAAAGGTCGGCAAGAGCCATGTTGATGATGAGATAGTTCGTAATGGTTCGCATTCGACGGGTTTTGTGCACAACCCGCACGACCATAACGTTTCCGAACAGGGAAAGTAGGATCACCAAGATGTAAGCAGCTGCTTTGATGCCTTTTACATACTCTTTAGTGTTCGGTTTTGGACAAGACGGGTAATCTTGAGTAGTTTCCGCAGGCATGCTAGATGCTGGTGGAGTTTGGTTTAACATGTCGAACGAGTACGAGAAGCTCGCGGAAAGAAGAAAGACAACGTGCAACGCGGCTCTGGATAAACGGTTAACTTCCACGTTGTAAAGTGGGCTTTTACGCTTGATTAGCAGCGGTCACTTTCGAGAGCTTTTATGTTTTCCCCTTTCTTCGAGATGGTTAATCCGTCTTAAATTGAACGCTCTATGTTGACCGCCAGCCACTCAGTCTGCCAAGAATAAAAGGCGATCCTCTCGAAAGGCGATAGAAACAAAACAAGAATTGACAACAAAAAATATGCAGAACTATATGCGTGGGTATGTTTACAAAAGCTCGGTTTTCAAAATGCAAATTCTCTCATTGACGAACGTTGCGATTTAGGTGTAAATTAGGTTAAGACGCTTTTCTGATCAAAATAAATCCTGTCACACGGTCGCCAATTTTGGAAAATGAATTCGGATATCGGTTTTGCTACTCGTGATTTTTATTCAACAAACGAAGGTAAACTTAATCATAACATGATGCACTTTTGAAATCGTGGGACGATTTCCATACTCTTGCCATATACTTGGATGTTACAGGACGCAGGCGTTTCAGACATCAGATTAAAGCAGCGTAAAAGTTTTAGTTTAAATTGTGTAAGTATAAATCATTAATAGGAGTGACATGACCTTTCCAAAGAAAGTTTGTACCATTGCGGATTTTAGTTATAAGAAAGAAACGCGTGGAAAAATTGTGAATTAGTTTTAGAAATGCTTCTTTCATCTTCAAACGGAGGGAAAGGCAGAGGATTTTAATCATTAAAATAGAAAAAGAAAATTCAGCCAAGAAGACAAATAATGACGAGTTTTATTAGTAATAAAATCGATATTTTTCAAGTATTGACACCATTGAACCATCTGGTTTAATTTGGTATCTGCGATCCGCAATCTTTCTTTATACCCCAAACAACTCCGATCCTTCGCCTACAGCCATGAAATAATTACCACAGATAAAAGGTTTGTTCTACAGTGAGCAATAAAAGTAGTCGGCACTTTTAAAGGAAGAGAAACAAACATTTCTGAGGACTTGATGGTCTCGCTGGATATAAAGGGAGATTGATATATTCCCTTATTGATAGGAAGCATGTTTGCCGAAGGAAACTATTGCTTTTCGTACTTGGTTATTTGCGGTTGTGGCCTTTTCCATTCATTAATTTAGGTTAGAAGAAATGGACAACAAGTAAAGAGAAAATTTCGCTGAAAGCGAACGAATCTTTCTTGTTCTTTCACGTGGTTGATAATTTTTAGGGTTATATCATATGCTAAATGAGCCCGACGCATTAGAAAATCTCTTTTTCAAAACGGAAATCTCCCATTAATGATCCAAACTCATCTTTAAACATCATGAAACGACAAAAATGAAGTTTCATATCTATTTTTAAGCAAGAGGAAAACACAAATTAACTTTACACGAAACAAATCAAAATTACTTTTCTGAAGATTCAAGCTGTCAAAAGTTGTTTTTCTATCCCTGACACATATCCTCCTCGAACAAAGCTAAATTAAAGTAAAACCAGCCAGAAATAAACCAAAGATGCCTTACGTTTATTCACAGCCAAGTACTCTTTGAACTTTCCGCCGACTTTGAAATGAATATTCGAAACAAATGTTCGATGTTGGCATATACCGGCTCACTCAAGAGAAGTGGTCTTAAGGAAATCACACAGCTGAAAAAAATATCGTGTTTCTTGGTCCGAAAGCTTGAGCTCGAAGTATTGTAGATAAATTGTAGTGGTGCATATACCTTGTAATTATAACATATGTGCGAAGTACTTGGCTTGTGTGAAATACTGAATCGTCATTATAAAGTATTCGGAAAAAAGATTTGGTAGCGATCTGACCGGGGGGCTCTTGGCTAAAAGACTCGATTTCAATCACTTGGTTTGAAACAGTTGGGAGGTCGTTTTCAGCGAAATTTTCACGAATATTATGCATATGCAGCCGTTCCATGCCTGATCATTTTTAAAGTAATATCCTTTTATCAGCCTGCAGAACAAACAAGTTTGCGGTGAGCCGGGATTTACGTTTTCCGCATCATTTTAGGACGCCACATAAGAGTTTTAGAGCAGCGTAGGATTGGCATAGGAATAAATTTCATCGAGAAGGTGATCCATTCGGTGGCCTCTTAAACATAGCGATCATGTGAACTTTTGCGAGCTTGTTGACATACACTCGATCTCTAAACAAGACGCATGCATTGCAGGTTAACTATTCGTTTCCGACTTTCGTTTTCCCCTCATTTTTACCCGTTTGGATGGCGATAATGCGACTTAATAGCAGTGTGGTAGTTAAAGTCATCTCTATCATCAACCGCAGACCTTCAGTTAAGGAGGCTCGGAAAGGTTTCTCACAATTAACAGCAAGTGCGAGATAATAAAAGAAATTAGGGACTGTCAAACTTTTATCATAGCAAGGTTTTGACATCTCGTCAAAACTGTTTTAGGATAAATTTTTTAGGCTGTTCTTCAGTCTTCATCTGTTGCTATGGCAATAGTACAGTGGTGCAAAAAGACCCTCTTAAACTCAGTTTTTGAAAGATATCTAAAAAAACAAAATCGATGACCTGGTCTTTTTTTTAATTTCTTACACATCATCACATTCTCTATCCGTACACGCGATAAAAATAAGGAAAATGTTGCTACAAAATTTAAAAAAATTTTCATTGGGTACTTTTTTCTTTTAATTTTAATTTACGAACGCGTAATGGTGAATATCATTTGTAAACGAAAAATCAGGGCAGGACAGCGAGATGATTTTCGAGATACTAGCTCATTAACGTGGCAAGCTTTATTTCCGGTTTTCTCACATTTTAGCTCGCACTCTTACATCCGGTCACGCGTTTTAAACAATACCGCTGACTGGCGCGTCCGTGCAACCCGATCGATGCCCTCAGCCAAGAAAAAAGCGTTATTTCGGAAATTAGATCTGTTCTGTGTGGCAAACCAGCATATGGAAGCTTCTGGACCCTGCTTGTCGAAAGATGAAGCTTTCCATCGAACGTTTGGATGGTATCTTAACCTTGTTCCAAGAAAATGTCTTCATCGAAAGACTCATTCGGAGATGCTCATTTACAATGATTGAGCAATTATTTATGTTTAGTGTGAAGTGGGGGAGCGAAAATAATTTGGTTGAAGGCTTTGACGTCTTTCAGAGCGTCATGAGTGTCAAACTTAGCAAAAAACAGCGTTTTATATACATCACTAAATTTGTAAAGAATAAGGAAGACGGTAAGTTTTGACTTCGGTAAAGAAATAGAATGATGTTTTTCGTCTAGTCACGTAAGTGGGACAAGGAAAAACCCCTGAGCTACAGAAACTCTATGGTGAGCAAGGCCCATTACTAGGTTCACATCTGACACGCGTCCTGCATAATGCTAGGATCGGCAATGTCGAAAGCGTTATGTTTTGTAAAGAATAAGAAAGATGGTAAGTTTTGAGCTCGGTAAAGAAATAGAGAGATGTTTTTCGCGCTCCGATGCTCTACCACTCAAAGCCACAGAGACTCTACGCTGAGAAAACTTACCATCTTTCTTATTCATGCCATCTTTCTTATTCTTACCATCTTTCTTATTCTTTGCATGGCTCGACTCTTACCGAAATGCGTCGAAAAAAATTATGTAAAGAGCTAAAGGAGGATGGTGAAGTCGACACCGCACCAGCAAAGCTACGACGATTGCGCTCGGTAGGTCTTACTTTGTTCCGAAAAGAACTTAAGTGGACACTTCTGAGGGTTGAGCTCAGATTTGTTACTTATTTAGTTTAATTCCTAATAAAATGAAATGGCCAGGAACGTTTCTTAGCAACTCTCCAGAAAATGAAATAATTGTTGGATCCAGGATTGTAAACATAGACAGTTTTATGAAGGAAATGGAGAAGTGTAAATATTGCCATATACGTTAAAAGATTGTTCCCGTAAACAAGAAATCGGATATTTGTGGATGAGACTTAAATTCTAATTTAACCATAGACAGTATAATTATAATAAACTATTTATCCCAAACTTGTGAGAAAGATTGTTGATATTTCCCCAGATGATCTATGAATTACGAGTTGGAAGTGAACGCAAACTCACGTTGGTTAAGAAAGGATTGAGAAGTTTGTTATTTCTTCGATTTAAAACGGAATAATAGAAGTTCACGGTTATGACAGTGGAATTCAGAGGCAAAAATGAAGCTAAAGCTTTTTCATGCACTGTACCCGTATCTTGAAAATTAGAAATTCGCGAAATCTGTGACCGACCAACTGAGTGATACTCCCCCGAAGATGCTTCTCGTCTATCTGCTTTCTAGAAGTAAACTTTTTATTTTGTTTCTCAAACAACCACTTCTTATGGAAACAGTAGAGGAACCCAGTAATTTTTTGGCGGTCATGTTGGTTTACAACTCTCTCGCGGAGGCGATTACGCGCGCCATAGCGTATTTCTCTCGTGGGTAATTTTTTGGTCTGTATCTTGAATCCGTTTTCCGCGCGTCAAAAAAACCATCTCGAGCCCCCTTAAAACTAACATTTCGAGGTCTCTGTTAGTAATAATGGGCGCCAAACTAGAGTGGATTTATTGAGAAGGTGGGGTTAATATTAATAAACATAATAATTGTCTCTAATAGCTTCCAATAGTTATCCATGGAGTGTTCGATATAGTCTGATAGCCTCTAATAGCGAAGAAAATGTCACGCGAGAGTATCACGTTCGTCACGCAGGGTTATTTTGATGGGAAGAAGAAAGCAAAACGACAGGTTTTGAAGCTAAAATCGAATCAATATTGAAACTGAAGGTCCTTAAATGACAAGCGGGACGTGTACTCTTCGCTAGTGGAGAGTGCCCAACACATCATAAACGTTTAGTGGTATCGCAAAAGAGCGAAAAAGAAAGTCATAAAGAACAAAATAGTTATAAAGAGATTAAACGATAAACATCACTCTTCCATATGGGGTGGTCGCGCCACTTACACCGTCTCATGGTGAAAATTGTATTGGTTTTTGCATGAAAACGGAAAAAAAAACCAAGAATGCAATCAAAACAGTAGAAAAATTGAAATTTCTTTGGGACGCGTCGGTGGAAGCGAGCATGAAATTGCTTTTCAAGTTATCACTGAATCTGGGTTCTCTTGATGGTTACTTCTAACATCTAAATAAGTTTAAGAGATGTTTAGATTATTTGGAGGACCATACTCCCATTATGTAGCACTGATGATAGTATACGAACATAACTATCTGAAAAGCTATCAACAATGGACAAGACTGCAGACTGCCCTGTTGTCTAACTCAAGGCAAAGTAGAAGTCTGCAATCTCACTGCCAGATGGCTGGGCATTTGAATTGCATCGCACAGATTTTTCAATTTTCTTCTCAGCGTCAATGAAGTG